AGAGCACTTATATACAGTGGTGATGACTAAGGGTTGAAACCTGGTGTTCCTTCTCATTTGCAGCCATAGAAACCATTTACACTGCCTCAAAGGAGCATTGTTCCCAACATAAGAGTTACATCCCATCTCCCAGATATTATGTATGTATATGCAAATACAGGTGTTCCAAAATCCAAAAATAAAATAAAAATAAAAATCCAAAATCCAAAGTACCTCTTGTCACAAGCATTTTGGATAAGAGAGAATCAACCTGTATAGCTTCTAGAAACTTCTGGGACTAGTGATTATCCTTTAAAACAAGGTGTGCAGCTTTGCTGTATTGGGAAAGACAGGCTTTATATGTGTGTGTTTTAGGGACATAAATCCTTGATTATTCCATCCCTGCATGCAAACAAAAATAATTACTGTCATTTTCTCCCTGTTGCAGGAGAAAGTAAGTATTTATGTGCAGCTTATGTCTCCCCATTTGAGAATCCTGACATGTCCTGGAGAATATTTATGTGTAGAAAAACGTACCAATGTTTTGCTCAAAAAAACACATTCCTGCACAGGAAACATAATGATGTTGGGGTTTTTTTTCACACAAAAAAGCTATCTATTCTCTGTACAGAAAATTCCTCCAGAACACTTTCGGAAGTTTGAATACTGGAGGAAAACTGCCAAAAAGTCTTGTTCTATTATTCCTCCTGACAATTATTCTGCCTGATTATCCTCATTCCTGATTGTTTTACATTTCTACAGTAAGTCTGGGAATAAATCCCCCCTGGATATGGATGCTATACTGTATTCGTATTCCTGTAAACCTGAAAATGCCTACCAATACTAAGTAGTTCCGGCACCAGTTCCGACAGCAGCCCCAGTCTTTCCGTAAACCTTGCAAGACCTCAAGAGCAGCCACTTTGGCTTTGATCTGGTCCATATCGGATGGAGGGATGTTCCTCACAATCTGTCTGGCTCTCCACCTGCAGAAAAACCCAAGAGAAGCTAGAGAGCTTACCTGGCCCAGCTGAAATCCCATTGCATGGATGCTACATATTTGCCACTGCACCACGGTGGAGCAGAATCCAGGATATCCAAGGCTGAGTTAAGATCAGGGGTAGGCAACCTTTCCCCTTTAAGGGCCAAGGAGGGACTTCAGCTCCCAGAATCCCAGGAGCTATTGGCCAACATGGGACTATCGGCTAACATGGCTGAGGCTTCTGGGAGCTGAAGTCCCTCAGCCCTTAAAGGGGAAAGGTTGTTACCCCTGGTTAAAATTGTTGGAGCCTCAGAGCAATGCCAAAACCAGGGGCCTTTAATTACTAAGTGCAACAGGTCTGGATCCATTTTCAGTCCTGCAATTTTACTGACGCTTAACGGTCTGACCCTCTGTAGTTGTTCTTCCTCAGTTACTCAAGTAGGGGTGCATCTACACTGCAGAAATAATGCAGTTTGACACTACTTAGGTGCTGTAGCTCCCTCATATGGAATCCTAGTTTTACAAGGTCTTTAGTTTTCTCTGCCTCACAAAAACCACAAATCCCAGGGCCCTGTAGGATGGAGCCATAGCAGTTAAAGTAGTGTCAAATTGCATTGACAGTGTAGATGCAACCTAGGACACAAGAAATTGATGGAATCAGAAACACGTGCGGATTCAGGCAGAGATTTTTTTTGGGGGGGGGAGAAGCAAGACATCACTTTTCCCCTCTAGGACCCCCAGATGCAACAACTGAACCATTGATAAGATTATCAGGTGAAATAAGGGAGGGCTCCTATACTTTTAAAGGATATATACAAAAAGGAATGTCAGCATCTCCTTTTATTTCACCTATGATATGAGAGCCAGCATGGTGCAGTGGTCTGAGTGTTGGACTAGAACTCTGGAGACCAGGGTTCAAATCCTGGCTCGGCCATGGAAACCCACTGGGTAGCCTTGGGCAAATCACACTATCTCCTCAGAGGATGGCAATGCCAAACCCGCTCTGAAGAAACTTGCCAAGAAAACCCCAAGATAGGTTTGCCATAAAGTCACCATAAGTCGAAAACCACTCGAAGGCATACAGCAACAAGAACCACCGGCCATGGATATCCATGGATTCTGCATGCACTGATTCAACCATCCACGGCTTAAAAATATATTTTTTAAAAATCCATAATGCAAACCATGATTTTGCTATTTTATATAAGGGCCACCATTTTACTACGCCATTGTATTCAATGGGACTTGAGCATCCACGGATTTTGGTATCCATGTAGGGTCCTGGAACCAAACCACAGTGGATACCAAGGACCCCCTGTACTTTGAACCCAGCTTGCAGCAATTGAGGTAAAGTGAGGACAAAGTGGGAAAGTGGGAGGAGGAGAGAGAAAACTGGACATTTTAAATGCAGCTGAAAAAGTGGAATGACAGAGGAATAATCAGCACTGCTTTTGCCAAAAACCAGGATGGTTGGAGGCTATGTTTTTTGCACCCAGATATCTAAATGTTGCTTGTGCATGTGATAGGTCATCTCCCAGATTTTCAGGAGAGAGGGCCGCTTATTTGGGAATGGTCAGCTGGCTGATGTCTTCTTCCACCAATGCAGCTGCCCTGTCCTTATTGAGGTGGGCAATGCTCTCATCTGCCTCCGTTTCATCATTTCTACACCCCTACTGCCCAGCCCATTGAGTAATGCTTTCACCCACGATGGTCCCAGAGTGTTCCCGCACGTACCATGCCCACCTCACCTGTGCCACTCTTACCTGCGGAAGATGAGTTTGCTGTTTTCTTGGAAATGTGCCAGCACAGCCGGGGGCTCTGGCCACTCCACACTTTTGCCGTAGTCGGCCATGCTGCGTACGTCCTGGAAGCGCTGTGCCAGCTCTCGGAGGTAAGCCTTCACCTTGTGGCGCTTGTAGCAAGACATGATGGTGTAGGTGGCTCGCAGGTACCGGCAGCGCTTACGGGCCAGGGCACCCCTCCAGGCCTGGGCCAAATAGATGAGTTAGACCCATGCCCCCAAATTATAGCCAATAGATATAACCAATTGACAACAGCCCATTTCTCCATTGTTCCTTTACCCATCCTTCTAAGGCCTACAGCAGGAGTGGTCCAGGGGCCACCTTTCTGCCTGAGGGCCCTCTGGGGGACAGAAGGATGGCCAAAATGCCCATAATAAGCAATACCCACAAAAGTGGTCCAAGTCCTCTTCTGGTTTTCAAAGATCTTTTTTT